CATCTATTCTTCCATAGTTGGCTGGCTCAGATGTGCCTGGCTACATGTCAAATCCTTTGGAACTTGTGTTGCCACATTTAGCAAACAAACAATCAAAAATATCAAAAGAAGAAGCAGGTGGCAAACCAAATTAGAATTTAAAATAATGACTGATTTTTAGTGCAAGTATGTCCCAAATACTGCATGGGATATACTTGTACTAAAAAATGACTTGTCACTTATCTACATCAAATTTAACTGGACATTCTGTACTTTACTTGGCAACCCTATGGGGGGTTGTGTGGGATTACAAGCAATTCCAGATGGAAGGGAGAGAAGAGTTCTGTGTTGGGAATTAAGGTAGTTCTTTTTATTGATATTATTTTATAGTAAAACCTCTGTACTCAGTTTTAACAGAACAGTGAGATATACTGGTAAATCAATACTCAGTTTCCAAGGAGGAGAAGGAGATTGGTGCATTTGATGGGTGAAACTGAATGAGCATAGTTTAATCTTCCCATGATGACTCAGGGTATTGTGGTGCCTGAGGTCATCCTTGCAAACTTTGGCTAACAGAGGAACACACGGATATGTGCAGAAATGCCAGTTAAGAGACTTCCGGTTAATAAACACAAGTTAACAGAATTGCAGTATGTTCTGATACTTCAAGTCACAACTCTCCAAGGTTATTTTCCTCAACATCCATATTTTCCCAAACGATGAAGTTGCTTTGTCAAAATAGTGAAAATGCTCTTTTGTCAATCACCTATGAAGCAGAATGGTTTGCCCCAATCTTCTTTTCTTTATATCTTTCTGGGGTGACACCTAGTGTATACTCTGAATTTTTTTTGATTATTATATTTTTTAAAAAAGAATTTCTGAATATAAAAGTTAGGTGAAAACTTGAGGGCTCCAGAAACTTTGGAAGTCAAGTGATGTATTCATGAGGTAACTTTTAATTCAATAGTTTTTGTTTGTTTTAATCCAGTTTGGGTTAGGATTTGACAAGCCAAGAGGAGAGGGTGATATTTTGAAATTCAGTAATTTGTTTGTAGAGAGAACTGCAAGTCATCCAGGAATTAATTAGTTAATTAATTAATTAATAATTAATTAATAAAAAATAAATGCATTGAGCACTTGTTATGGTCCAGGCATACATGACACAATAGAAAATAAGGGAAGCGTGGCCCCTGCTTTACGGGTCTTCTGGTCCAGCAAGGATACTGAAGCCTTGTTTCTCTCACATCAGTCTCCACTCTGAGGGGACTGTGGCCTCTAAGAGATGAAAACTGTCTGTTTCTGGCAACCGAGAAGAAAACACTGATATCATTGTCTCCTCAGAGACTCTGCTTGCTGAGACCTGTTCTAGGCCCTGTTTATGGAACACCATGCCTTCTCTCATTTATGGGGTACCATTTAGTGAGCACTTACTCTAAGCCAAGTGTGTTATATTCTTTCAGTTTAATCTTCATTACAGCTGAATTAAAGTCCGTTTTACTGACCCGGAAATGGAGGTCAGAGAGAGGAAATGTCTCGCCCATGGTCACACATTTACCAAGTGGACAGTCCAGAGTGAGGCCTGGGTAGATGTCTGCACACTTTCTGTCCACATGGCTGTCATTATAACATGCTGCCTTCTCCAAAACCCATCCATTATTTAGAGACTGTATCTACTGTACTAGCCAGGAGTATCTAAAATATGTCAGGGGTCATGATAAAGAGATTAGCACTCTGAGCCTAAAACAGTATCTTTTGGCAGAAACAAATAGCTCCTTAAATAATTGCAAAATAAAATATGTCTGAAAGTAAGAATATGCTATTGTAGACACCGATGTTTAAATAAATAGGTCATTTAACTAGTCCTTTAACATGTAACATTAAGTCATGTGATATTTTTATTTCAAAATTCCAATAAGTTATTCACCTTCTTCAAACGTGAAGACTCACATACCTAGAATGAACTCTCACGGAAATCCTTGTGAAAATGGAAAAGAGCAGTTCAAGTTTAAGTGAATGTTTTATTTAACTAAAAGGAGAACCTCGGGAGTCTGAGTTCGGATCAATACGTTTGGAGTCACCAAGTTACTTCTTCTCCTTCTTCCTTTTTTTTTTTTTTTTTGTATAGTGACATAAGATTAGAAATGAGACAGAAATTTCCAACCTGACCTCAAATGACCTTGTTCCTATGAATTTATGGGTAGTTTCTCAAATTTGTAATGATCTGAAAATTACCTAGAACTTTCCCTCACCTAACCGCTGATCAAAAATAAAGCCAAGATTTAATCTAACTTTTCAATGTTCCTTCTTTCTCCAAACCTCTCCGACTAATTCCTGCCTCCACGGCCTTGAACTTTCTAAGTCTGCGATCTTAAAACAAATAATTCTGTCTCTGGGATGGAAATAAATACGATTTTGGTAAGAAATCAGATGTTAGTTTTTCCTTTCCAAAATGGACTCTCCTATAAACTAGTATAGTTTTTTCCTCCTTAGTTTTTTCTCATTGTGCTTTTCTCCAAATGGCTTGTAATTTCATTGAAAACTGCCCAGGTGGGTGTTCCCCCCAGCATCAAAAATTTGTTTTCCTTCTCTAGACATAACTATGGCAAAGAGGATAAAAATAGAAGCAACAGTGTTGGCATTCATGGAAGTAGAAAGTAAACACCCTAACGTAATATTAAAAGATAGTTCAGAGATTTTTAAAAACTTATTTACCTTTAATGACTTTTTGATGAATCAGTTACTGATTCTGTTTAACTTTTAATCTTATTTTGAAGGTTACATTGTATTGTCTTTTTTTTTTTTTTTGAATGATACTTTGCAATGTATTTACTTCAATGGAAAGGAATTCTGGCGTGACCGCTATTCACTCCAGAATACAGCCGGGTCGCACAGGAAGGTGGGTGGACAAGTCATAAGTGCACTGATTGCCACAGGAATACAAGGAGAATAATAGTCGTGACGGTTCTTTTATTCTCAGCTCTGCCCTGCCTGGCCTACCTTTTCAGTCACTTAATGCCTCCAGACTGAGTCTTCTTCACCTCTCCAGTGGGTGGAATCCCTCTACTTACATGAGTTGAACAGAAACTTTTAAAGTCCTATTCATGTCAGAGGAAACAAAAAAACTAGAGACTTTGACAGATCGATTTCTAACAATAGTATATGTGTTCCACAAACGATGGCTAGATACCCAGACCCAGAGTTTTCAGAGGAGTTAGTAGGAAAAGGAGGTAAACCCCTCCTTGATCTTGGCTGACACAGCCTCCGGTAGCCTTCAAAAATAGAAAGATAAAGTGACCGAGAGCAGCATGTCATGTAATAATTTTTAATTGTAGATCTACCGAGCACTTGTCCGTGGGCTGTGCACCCAGAACACGGGGACAGAAGCTCCATGAAGACAGTGCTTGTCTTCATGGAGCTTGCCGTCCAGTGGCAAACACCTGCGACACGCCAGGCTGTGCTGAGTGCTTTAGATCCACGTGCTAATCCATTATCCCAACAACCCTGCACGGGTCTGCTGTCGTGACTGTTCCCTAGATGAGATAACAAAGGCTTTGAAAGACAGTCAGTTCCCTCACCAAATAAGCCAGCGAGGGGCACAAACACATCTGTCATGGGTAAAGTCAGATCTGTCTAAATCTGGAGGACGTACTCTTAACCACCAAATAAACATGACCCCATTTGTGTGAGATAACTCCGCCTATATTTAAAAGTTCCCATAAGTCAAAACGAGGCTATCTTCCAGCTGGACCTTACCTGTGATCTTACAGCCATAAACTTCAAACCTCATCGATATGCCAGTTTCCCAAGTCGCAGGTCTGATTCGGACAAATCGAGTTATTAGTGGTTTAGGGAAAACTCCAAACACAACGTCTGTGGGGTTGGTGTTTCCCTGAAAGATCTAGACAGAAAAAGAAAAAAGCCCCTTTAACAACAGACTCTTTAGATTTAAGACAAATACAAAAATACGTTTTCACAGATGCCTATAAAATTATTTACAACTTCAGCACTGGCTATCAAGGTTGAGGTGGCATTAAAAACTTGTCCTGTTATTTTTTCAAATGATAGCCACCAGAAAAAATCACGTGTAATACAGAATGTTGCCCTAATCATCTATTCAATTCTCTGAGAGCCTAGAACCTCCAAAAGCACTATTCAAAGGTAACACTTAAAAAAATTTTTTTTTTAATATATTTGACATACAGAGAGACAGCGGGAGAGGGAACACAAGCTGGGGGAGTGGGAGAGGGAGAAGCAGGCTTCCCACCGAGCAGGGATCCTGATGTGGGGCTTGATCTCAGGGCCCTGAGCTAAAGGCAGACACTTAACGACTGAACAACCCAGGCACCCCTCAAAGGTAAAATTTGTTAAAGGCTACATGCTATCATCCAAAAAAGTTGGAGATTATTAACTCTATCATACGGACCTACAGAATACTCTAGACATTTCACGGGAACTCACACCACTTTACTTTCCCAGGAACCCCTGGAAGGAGTACTTTTGGAGTTCAGTATAGGGTCCGGCTTTTGGAAAACTCTAGGTTATGTTCCCAGCTACAGCACTTGGGCAAGTAGCTTCCCCCCTTTTAACTCCATTTCTTGATGGAAAATCTTATTCCTAATGTTAAGTAATAACTTCCATCTTTTTTCAAATCACATTTTAGTGGTCAAAATCAAAGCCGAATTATATGATACGCAACTGGAAATCAGCTTTTCCAGGACCCCTGCCTCTAGTTTTAAACATGAGTCATTTTATTCTAGGAAAGGATGAAGCAGGTAACTGCAAATGTAGTAGTAAGTGCCAGTCATGAACAAGTTCCCCACGGGCCACGCTGCCCAGGTATGGTGCCACAGCCCCGTTCTCCAGCAAGATCTCTGAGGAGCAGAGACTGTCTTGCCGGGACACTGGCACTAGACCTCTCTCTGAGGAGCTGAAAACCTCCACTTCTCTGGCATTTACTTCAGCTCTGTGCTGGGGAGAGCCCACAGAAAAGTAAAAGCTACTAGTGTTCTGCTTATCACACAGCCACACCATATTCCTGTCAGGATGTGTCCCTTGGATGTCACTGGGTCCCTTCAGAGGCCTGGGGACTCCTCCCCACCTTTCCAGGTAAGTTCTCAGAGGAGGACTGCAGTTTCCCAGGGCTTGTTCTTAACCCTGGGAGAAAAGACTTCTAAAAGTCGGGATGATGTTTTTGCTTCATTTAGCTTAAGTGGCCTGCATGACGGAAGGTGGTCAAATGCTTTAGAAAGTTGGCTGTTAGCCTGATCTCTCTCCAGAGATGGTTTAATATCATAATTTATCCTGGCCTGTGATGGCCTTTAGATTTCTGTCCTACTTCAGCAAATCTCTATGGGAAACAATCTATATGGGAGCATTTTTGTATGACAAAGAATAATGGATAGTTGCCGGAGGGAGTAGAGTCCCCAGCCGTAATGCTTGAAGGGTCAACAAGTTCTCTTCAGGGAGAGACTGGCAGTCAGTTAAGAGGGCTGCCTGCTCCAGCGTAGGCTGTGGGGGTGAACTCTGGCTCACACTGAGGGAACTTTACATTTGCTGAAAACCATGTAAGTGCAGACATTCCATTTAACATAAAGAGGATGACTGGAGTTGTCGTTGGTTGAAGGCTGCTCTTGACGAGCTACGGCCAACTCTCCCTGAAGAAGGCAGGGAAGACGTGGAGGTCAGCAGGGCCTCCACAGAATAGGGAAAGGAGGGTGGGCAACAGCAAGGAGACTCCAGGTGGAGGATCGGATTGCATTAGCGTCAATGAAAGTGCTCAGAAGGACGCCACACCCTTATCTTTGCTGAATCCTTCTTTAACCCATCTGCCTCCCACTTTGGAAGACCTTCTGCATCCCAGGATGCTCTGGATTGTGGGCCTCGCTCTGTGCATTGTCAGACACCCCCTCAGACTTTGTGTGTGCTCCCCGACTCGTCCCCGTCATGGTGTCTGGGCCATGTAGACAACTGATGGCCAACAGCTGACGAGGACATGTTGGAGAAACAGCCCGCATGTTTAAAGAAATGGCCTGGAGGCCTGAGGTCAGTTCTCCTTACTCTCTCTGGATTCTTTTGTTTGTTGGTATGTCTTTGGCATCAGTGTTTTGTTTGTTTGTTTGAAACTAAGGCATGTCTTCCAAAAAATACTTCAAGAATAAGTCATGAAACTTAGGGTCAAAATTTACTTGCTAAAGCTTTAAAAGCATTGGCTGTGAGGGTTTCTCGTCCCCAGATGGAGGATTGGTTCCATGTCCTCCAGGGCTAGACAGTGGCCTTGAACTTGTTGTCCATAGAAGTTTCCTCCCACAGGGCAGCTGTCTATATATCTACTTTCATCCTGTCTGCCCTCAATAAGAGTTGGGGCTTCGCAGCTAATCAAAGGGAATTATCTTCACACTCAGGAGGCTTTTCTTAGTTCCAGACCCAGGAGGAGAAAACCAGGCCACGTATGCTCAAAAGAGAGACAAAGACACATTAAGTGGCCTCTTCCCAAACTCAGAATTTCAAGTTACCTGGATCTTTGCTACTATCCTTATCAATGCCATGCATTTTACTTGGCTTCACGGAAAGCTTTTAATTTGAGGGAGACAGCGAGTAAGAGTTCTCAGAAATCTTTTGATTAGTCAATCAGAGCAAGTGGAACTTCAAATAAATAGGCAGACTGAGAAGAATATGTCAGTTCCAAATGAGTTAGGGCAGGGCACCCGGGCGAGGCCTGCTGGTGTGGCTTCTTTGGTGAAGAGCAGTGAGGAGGTAGCGTCTTGTCGTTTGCGTGATCTGAGAGAACACTGAGAACTGCCTTTCCTTCGATTCATTCTCACAGAAGCAGCCAAACACACTTGTAAATTAGTTTGTGAGCCACAGAGGGTAGGTGAAAAGGAGTTTTCTAAAACCAGCCCATTACTGAGAGAAAGAAAGGAGTCTATGAAAGAGAAGGAAGAAACACAGGGAAACCAAACCAAACAATGCACCTAAGGCTGTAAGAGGACAGTGCTTGTCCCATGCACCGTCCATATCCCATGAGAGGTTTAAAGTGATTCTTGAGTCTGACACTTAATTTGGCTGGTATTGACTTTTCTTGGAAACATCTGTATAATTTCCTCTTGGCTTCTGGATCTGGGAACATGAGACCCCCTTGGTCAGATATAAACCTCTAATTGCACTTTTCATTTTAAATCAATCCAAAACTAAACCAGGCCAGACAGAAAGCTCCCAAACAAACAAGTAAAAATTGATCATCCATTTCAAAGACTCAGTTGGTGGTGGGGGCAGGAAGGGAACGGCAGTCACACTTACAACAGGTTTACTTCCTTCTTTTATGGTGATCCAGTCTTCCCCGTTGGAGCTAATGTCTACTCTGTAAGTCTTGACGTAATATTTCTTCTTGGTTTCCTTTGAAATGGCTCCCTGTGTCCCAACAGCTGTGACAAAGCGCAGAAGACCCAAGTCTACCTGCAAAACAATACAAGCATGGTCAGTCCCTCACCCTGCACCACCATAACCGGAAACGGCTTTTCCTGTGGGTTCCATAGCGTAGTTTTCATCCACCTGAGAGCAATAAGCCCTAATTCCACCTGGCATCAACAACCCCTAACTTCCCCATTCCATTCCTTCTAAAGGAAGGCACAGGTATGGGGCGCCTGGGTGGCTCATTCAGTTAAGCATTGGTCTTTGGCTCAGGTCATGATCCCAGGGTGTGGGATCCAGCCCCATGTCAGGTTCTTTGCTCAGCAGGGAGCCTGCTTCTCCCTCTGTCTTTGCTCGTGCTCTCTCTCTCTCTCAAATAAATAAATACAATCTTTTACAAAATAAAAATACTTTTCAAAGAACACAGTAATATATGTCATTTTACAATTAGAAAATCAAGACAAGATTAATTTGCACATTGGACTTTGGAGAGGCTTGGACTAGAGCTCAGTTCTAATGGGCTCCCATTACACTCGGAAGTATCTGCCCTCTCACAAACCAATTGCAGACAGATACGATACAACTCTGAAACCACCGTGAGTGTTGTGGTTTGGAAAATGGGCCAGAGATGTATAATCTGGAATGAAGGGGAGACAAGGAAGATAGAGTAAGGATTTTTGTTTCATCTTTAAATCTCTTCCTTCCCCTTGTCTTCCCATGGCCTTTCTTGCAGTTCAGCTCCAGAGGCAGGTGGATCCCAAGGCATCATCTGGGAAGGACTGATGCCTCCGTGTGACAATGTCTGGGGCTGGTGAGCTCTGACTGTAAATTTCCAAGGGAGAAGTTCCTCAACACCAGAGCCTGGTTTTTGTCTCTCACTGGCCTATCTCATACCCCTGAAGGTTGGGCTGCTTGGAGGGCATCGCAACAGTGACGACAGAGGGTGACCAAAGCCTCAGGGTCCATGATTTCCTGCCAGAGGTGTGCAGTGGCTTGGGTTGCTCCTGTGACCCTGTGACATGAGAGGGCAGGACAAAGATCTAAGCATCGGGCATTCAGGAGTCTTGGTTTGGTTCTGCCACTGGCTAGCTGTGAGGCCTTGGGCAAGTCACTTCGTCTTTAGGGTTCCAGTCCTCATTTGTTAAATAAAGGAGTTGGACAAGATAACCCAGAGGGCCCCTTTCATCTCTGACTTCCAATGATTCCATGTTTCCAGTAAAGTAAAATACAGTTAACCCTTGAACAATGTGGGGAGTTAGGAGTGCCAACCTGCCCCGTAGTCGAAACTCAGCACATTAACTTCTGACTCCCCCAAAACTCAACTACTTATAGTCTACTGTTGACCAGAAACCTCACAGATAACATAAATGATGGATCAAGACACATTTTATATACATATTATATTCTATATTCTTACAATAAAGTGAGCTACAGAAGAGAAAATGTTATTAAGGCAATCGTAAGGACAGCCACTTACAGTATCATACTATAAAAAAATCCACTTATTAGTGTACCCTCACAGCTCAAACCCAGGTTGTTCAAGGGTCAACTATAGTTTTGTTTTTTTTCTTTCTTATTCTTTTCTTATTTCCATCATTAGTAACCAAGAATAATCTTAAAACAAAAATCATTACTAGTTTCTATATGTTCAAAATATATTTAATTTCTTCTTAAGGATACATTTGATTTTTTTTTTTTTGCTTAAAATTGTTTCCCTCTATTTAATATAACTTCTACCTATTTTATTTGTGTATAATGCAGATACTTTAAAGAAATGATACCCAAGCATACAGCAAATACTTTTTAAAGGACACAGAAAGTAACTGCACATTACAACTACTCAACATTAACAAGATGTTTCAACAGCACTTTCATTATTAAGAGGTAAGAGAATGTCATTTTCCAAAGAGAACAGTAACAAAAGCCAAAAAAACAAAAATAAAAAACCCCAAACATACCCCCTACCCACCTCCAGCACTTCTGACGCCTGTTTTCCACTTACTGCCTGACAACCCAATTTTCAGAAAACAAAATTCCAATTAACCCTCTGGTCCTATAGGCCATGAACACCTAAAGAATTTCCATTTTATGTACAGTCAGCCTCATGAAGAATGACTATTGTCTTTCATGAATTGCTTTTTCCTGAAGGCCCTTGGAGTAGTTAGATCAACATGTTGCCAATTCACTTCAAAAACTGAACAAAAAGTTACATCCAGGAAAAACAGCTATATCACTAGCCCATAAAAGCCAACTTGAAGTTACACAATTTAACAATAGGAGATTTCATCTGGAAAGGAAGGGAGCACCATTCAACGTAAAACTGTCCTTATTTCATTTACTTGATTTTAAAGATACAAAGTTTAGGCTTAGGTTTTTGCCAGATTTAAGAAGAAAAAAGAGGAAGGCTTGAATAGAAATTAAGAGTTTAGGATAATGATGGTAGGTGCTTTAATCTTAATTTAACAAATAAATATTTACCCCACACATTTTTACCAAGCACCTCTCCTCATTAACTGAAACTTGAATTTTTTTCACATGTGAGCCATAAGACTTTGTATGAATTTGTACACAAATTTCAAAAAAGGGAGGCAGTCCACGTTTCCTGGATTTGGCAAATAAAAATAGAGTCTGTTCCATTAAATTTGAATTTCAGAGGAACAACACCTATTTTTCATACATGTATGTCCCGTGCAATCTTGGGGCATACTAAGAGCTGGTCATTCGTTTACTTGAAACTCAAATTTAACTGGATGTTCTCTATGTTATCTGGGAACCCTAAATGTAACTCTACTTCAGGCAAATAATCAGGGGATTTTAAGTTGCTGCAAAAACTCTCTTGATTTCCTAACGCTTCAGTCTGTAAGTTAATGGGCACTCTGGACTTGGTTGCACTCCACAATTTCAACTGTTTTCAAATGCTCTCAGAACACTTAGTGCTTTACTGACTATCCATTGAGTCATGCCCAATGCCATATCCACTTTCAAGCTGAAGGGCCCTTAAAATCGTGACGTCCAAGGGAGCATGAAGCAGAGCTATTTAAATAAACTCTTCCTGTCCAACTTACAAATGGCTCTTCAGTTTGGAAATGATTAAATCCCCAAGAGTGCATATTCAGCTCAGGCTGATTTGAAATAACTCTAGAACTTCATCCCTGGGCTGTCCCTTCTGCTAATTTTTAAATTTTGTTTTTAGGGTAAAATTTGGTTACCAGGTAGGAAAGTAGTTAATTGGTTGTCAACTAGAAAAATCCTAGGCATTAGAAACAATGGACTTTAAAGGAGGGAGTAACTGACAGGAATTAACCAGGTATCCAACACGGGAGATGTCCAGCATCCCAGATAGAAAGGCCCCAAAACATATGCATGAATCCCTTGTAAAAAAAGAAAACAATATTTTCCTTTCTCAATAGCAATGAAATGCATTGGCAACCTCCCCTTGTAATTGCATAAAATTTCCTGCTGTGCTTTAAAACTCTGCAGATTCTCTTATTTATCCCACACTGGGATACTTGAAATTTCATTTCATTTTTCTTCCTCACATTACTGCCACTGGGTTTAGCAAGGATGAATGACAACCTCCCAAATGATTAGGGCTGGGGCCTGAACTTTTGCAATTAAAACCGGATGGTACCCAGAACTCTAACAAGACACAGCCTCCCTAGCACCGTGGGAGCTCTCCCCAGCAGTACCAGCGAAGTTCTTTCAAGTCTTTTCTCCCTAGGTATCTTCAAGGAATGCCCTCACAGCGTTCGGCTTTGGCAGAGATGCGTTGCCATCAGCCTCAGAAGCCCTGCCGCTCACACTTCCCGCGTTGTGTCAGGAGACCCAGAGGCCTTACTGCCTAAAGCCTGGGTGTTTACACTCCTCTCACCAGTGAAGTCGGCTCTGCTAATCATGACATTGGCCTCCGTTGACCTTCGGAGTCCCACCTGCTCTACAACTGCATCTTCCAGCCACATTAAATTATTTGTTACTCCTCACACAAGATAAGCCCTGTTTCCCTGACTTGCCACATGAAGTTCTCTTGACCTAAAATAACCTTTTCCTCTTTTCTGACTACAAATCACTTTTCCCTCTTCCTGGTCTGGTAGGCAGAATGCGAAGTCCCTTCTTCCCCCTGGGGAAGCTTGGTGCATGGCTTGCATCTCTACCACTGAACTTATCATGCTGTGTTTTTGTTCTACTTCCATCCAGAATTTTGTGATTTCTTCTAGGCAGTGTCTGTTTTTTGATAGAGAAAAGTAATAGCTACCTAGTGAAAATGTATAAGAGGCAGAAAAGATTAAAGAAGAAAATAGAATCTCCGTAAGACCAACATTCAGAAATAGTCACCGATAAGAGCGTTCCAGAATATTCTTTTCCATGCAAAATACATGTGGATGCTGTATGTATGTTTTATCATTAGCAAAATGAGGTTGTATTACCTCTAGGTTTGAGAACTTGCTTTTTGCTTAGTTGGATGGCTAGATTTTTATATCCAAAGTATTTTCCAACGGCTTCGGATTATATTCCACAGCGAGGCTTTTGCATAATCTGTTTGATTGGTCCACTACCTGTGAACATTTTTATTCAACTTAATTGACATTCACTCAGTGGACACTTCGTACCTCTTCTCCTCTAAGTTCTATGTAAGTGGTGAGGACAAAAAAGCAGTATGGGTGTGAGAAACACACACACACACACACACACACACACGATGACAGAATGGGGCACTGCTCGGAGGAAGGAGTCAACGTTTTACGCAGACACGTGGAAGTCGGGGCACTGCAGACATTTTGCAGTGGACTCTGATGTCTAAGACAGGTGTTGGAGGATACACAGTAGAAGTTGGCAAATGGCACAAAAGGCAAAGAATGTTCTGGTGAGAAGAAGGAGCAGGAAGTACAGAGGGAAGCAGGAGGACATGAATGAAAGAAATAAATTGACCCTAAACAACTTATTGTGTCTCCCTCGCCACTGTAGCCCTTATTTGTCAAGAAGTGTATCGCTCTTCGTTTTTATTTATTTATTTATTTTTAAGAAGTGTATTGCTCTTTTAAGAGTATTCTCTGGTCATTTTCAAGCCAACATAATTAGTTTTCATGAAGACTATTCAAAATCAGCCACTGGCCATCCTCTTGGTGGGTTAGCTTTTTGAATTATGATGAGCTCTCACCAACCTCACATCATAATAGACAAGATTGGCGACCCAAGACAGGCAGCTGGAAAGACAAAGCTACAACCCCAGAATGGTTTTACATAATGCCACCCCTCTGTGTTTTGGAGGGTTCATCGTCCTGAACAATACTTCCTTTCTTTCCATAAAAACTCAGACACACAATAACCATAATTAAGTAACCTGCTTTCCCTAAATCCAATCAGCTCTGTTCCAATCACTATCTTCTCATTTTGAAAGAATATCATTATTTCACAGCTGCTTTATTTTTAATTGGAAGATGGATGTGATTTCACATCTGAGTTTGATGCACTTCTGTTTAACATTAAGGGTGATGGTGAGGGGGTGTGAGGATGGGAGGCGGGGGATGTACGGAGCCGTGCATCAATGCACTTGCTAAAATTGTCAAATGCTTCACTCTGTGTGTGTGACGAACATAAACATCTGGTACTTATCTGGTCGAATGTAGACTATTTTATAGGAGTCTAGCGCACTCCTTTTGAACTCTCACGGCCACTCTCTAAGTTAGCTTATGTAGCCCCATCAGCAGAAGTGACCCAATACTATATCCTGTTTCCAATGCAAATATAAAATTCTAACACTGTTGCTAGAATGTCTACCCACGTCTCACTTTCACTGTGCTCCACCCCCAAGGAGACAATATAGCTAGACTGCAGATACAGAAGAGGAAAGCCCAACTTTCATCTTGGGTTTGGGGAGAGGCACACTCGTAGAAGAAAACAGAGGTCCTCACCTGCTTCTGGGGGGCCAGGGATGGGGTCCTAGCTGCTCCTGTGGGGGTGAGGGCCCCTCCCATGGCATGGACCTTGACCACGATCCCAACTCGCTCTTTGTTGGAAGATGTCTATGTGTATAATCCACATGCTCTTTACGGCCATGGCATTGTCTTAGTAATGACAGGAAACACATTCCCCAGATAAAGAGAAGCCAGGAGAAGCACACTTTCTACTGGGAATCATTTGAGGACAAAGCGCACGTTTCAGCATTGTGTAGTTAATCATGTAGCAAACCTCTGCGAACTGCTGGTTAAACACCAGCATGCAGCCTCCGAGCCATGAAATGAATATCGTGGCTTTCTGTAATATACATAACCAGCTATTGGTAATGTCATAATGTGGAAAGCCTCATTTCTAAAATGAAAATCTGTCTTGCTCAATAAAATACTTCCCATTGAGCTAGCATTGGGCAGGGAGCGTTTACCAGCTCTTAACATTCCCAAAGCAGGTCAAGACAAGAGCCTGAAAAAATACAGGACAAAGGACTGAAGTCTGATTAAAAACAGGAAAATATTTTGAAGCGGGGGGAACATGTCGGATTTTTTTTTTAGAGCATCTCTGATGACTCAAAGAGCTGTTTAATTCATCACTAGACACTCTAAGCTAAAGAAAATATTTTTAAACAATTGTCTCATTTCCTTAGATAACACACATGTTTTCTGATAGAGGCTGAGCATTTGAACATCAGTGCTGTTCTAGGATCTGTGGGCTTAATTCAAGCATCTGATCCTTGCGTTCCTTAACCTCTTGGACTTTGTAGAGTTACCAACTGGAATATAATCACTTTATAGCCAGTGACATAGTTCTCTATCTCTTTATGTATTTTTTTACTATTACTGTATCACATAAAAAAATACTGATGGCTAAAGTTACTATATTAATACTATATTAATAGAAAAATCATAGGGCAATCCCTCTGTGTCAGGCATTTACTAAGGGCTAAATTTACAATCATTACCTCTTTCAGTTCTCACAACAGTCACACATGGAAGGTTTTATGGACAAAGCAACTGAGGAACAAAGAGATGTGTGGACCCTGTCCAGAGTCACATAACTCACCAGTGACTGAGCTGGGACTCACCCAGATCAGATCCATGGCCCATGTACAAACACTACACCCAGGCTGTTGCCCCATTCCTGTTGCAAAATGTAGTGATTATCGAAAGAAAGAGATTACTTCCTCAATAATAAAAAAAAATCTGATTCTTCTTCTTAAAAAATACAATTTTGTATAATTATAGAGAATTTGAAACCCTTTATGATGACCTTGACCATGGGTTTAACATTTATACTGACTACCAGAAAGCAAACCATTGCAAATGATTCAGTTACGCTGTTGAAAAACAAGATCGTAGAGATGGATCATTGTTAGCAAACGATAATGAATGAGGAAACGTTTTTAAAATGCTGGTAAAGAGTAAAAATATCCAAGTATGAGAAAAGTGTAATGCAGGAAGTTCCTTGCCAATTTTCTTTTCTGGTCTTAATTGCCTGAATTAATCTCTCTCCCCCTCTCTTTTTCATTGCTAAATTAAAGGAAAGCCTTTCCTTGGATGGAAACAAACTACTGGTTGTAACAAAACTCTGGTAGTAAAACAATACTACGTGAACGAAAGATGAATTCTTTCGGAAGCTATGAGCCAGCCACTTAGAATAACATTAGATAAGGCTGTCACAGCACAAATGCGGTGGAAAGCCTGTTTCCTAGACTTTCCACTGTCCTTATAGCACAAGAACAAGAAAAGGGGCAAGAAAAACTAAGTCCCCAAATAAGGGCTGACCTTGGTCTTTTTTGTCTGATAAAGACAGATAATGTTTACGTGGGCTCCTCTGTGTCTGAATTCATTGCACATTCTTTAGATCTCATTTTTTTTTTGCATAAATCAGAAGCAACTAATTAAAAAGAAATATTTAATTCTGATACATTCTTTGAACTGGAGTTCCATCTGGTTCTGTTTAAATAGTAAAATCTGCTGTAGTTGTTAAAATTGGCAAGTGGCACAGACAAAAAAAGAAACAAAAGGGACTCAGTGCAGCAGGTTAATACTTTCGTATTTCAACTACAGACATTTCCAAAATCCAGCTACTCAAATCACTCCAGTATAGAAACCATAAAGATCAAATGTTCTAGAATAGAGGGACCACTGCTGGTCTACATTTCCGCAGTGTGATGGAGACAGCATCAGGCTTTGAAGACCTTTGGTTTGGAACTGGGACGCCCACCCCAAAAATGCTCAACTTTAGTTTATGAAACATATTTAAGACATGTACGGGCAAAAAGTCTTCACATACCCTCTGCGAAACCTGAGTTTTTTTTTCCTTCCATATTTTCTTGGACAGATATAATTGTGTACAGAAAAATACAGACAGATATTCCATTTAATTCCTTTCTTACATGAGAAACCTGTAAAATCTGGACATCAGGATGCAATCTATTCTGATAAAAAAGAAGGAGAAAGTGAAATGTGTTAGGGTTTCTCTAGACTCTGGAATACAAATAAACATCTAAGACCAGTTGAAACTCTCCAGTAGAGATGAAGAGAAAGGCTGGTTAAACCCCCATGAGAAAAGATATTAATCTTCTTAAGACATACACATGCCTGTGAATTCCTTTCTTCTTTAAAATGAAGAAGCTTCATTGCTTCAATATCATGTCACCTTGCACACGGGTACCTCTGAAACCTTCAACAGCTCAGTCACAAAGACGACACACACACAAAAAAAACCCTTTTCTAACTAAGATTTTCAGGGACTCTTGCTGGGCAGTAAAGGACTCAGGGACTTAGTACTTCCAATTAACATTTTTTGAATGCATG